TAAGAGAAAGGTTCTTTTTGTGTTGAAGCAATGACGGACAATAGCAAACACCTACAGCTAGCTTGTTCTTGTCAACCAATGGGTTTTAGGGCTTGTGGAGCACAGACCATCGAACTATGTAATCACAAAGACAAACTGATTACAGTGACATAAATCAAAATTACTATGACTATGTTTGCTTGTGGCAATGATTATCAGATCTTAGCGATTTAAAGCTCTGATTGGCACTGCAACTGTCGTGGATACGCGTGTCGCTTACTACCAGGCGCACGACTTGTTCGTCCCGACACTTGGTACCTTGGATAAAGAATGAAAAATAATAATATAACAACGCACATACCCAGAGTCCCGCACTAGCGATACGCTGTATCGCGGGTGCCATGACGCATACATAGGTAGACTACCACAAATTACACCCAAACTCCCGAAAGAAATAAATGTATTCCATACAAATATTTCTCCCGGCCCGGATAATCGAACCCGGGATAAGCAGTTAAGAAGGCAAACTATAAAAAAAATCATTCATTCATTCATTCATTCATTCGTTTTAAACGAAAATCTAAACACACCTTAAGAATGATCAGATTATTTAAAGACTACATGAGCATTGTTAGATTAGTTCTACGCAATGTTGGCTTTTTGTCGACACCGAGTGGAATTTAATCGAGTTTTTTCTTTTGATGTGGAATCGAATCAAGTAATAGATGGTAGGGATGTGAATGCTACCGATATTGTTCGATTGTCGATATTTTAATTTTGCAAATTTAGCAATATGGTGCAGTCCTTACTAATTATGTGGAATCTAACGCCTTTCACGTGTGTTTTCGCGTGAAAGGTGGCAATAACCCCATTTCATCGATTGTATTGCCTATTTCTGCCGCCAAGCAGTAATGTGAGTGTTCCAGTTTAGAAGAGTAAGGGTACTGGTGAAATTACAGGCACATAAGACTTGTTAACTTGATGGGCGCAGCGCCCGTGCCCGTAAGATTTTTGCGATTTAGAACTCTGAATGACACTGCAACGTTACGGATATACGTGTCGCTTACCACCACAAAAAAGAGAAATATTTGTAAGGCCTACATTTATTTCTCTTGTGAGTTTGGATGTAATTTGTGGTTGTCTAATCTGTGTGTGTGTGTGTGTCCATGGCACCTGCGACACAGGGTTTCCGGAGTTTATGTTAAGTGTGTGCCTTATTATTAGAAAAATCATTAATCGATAAAACAGCTGGTTTGAAAGCCGCATCTCTATTAAATATCGATGCCGGTCCATCAAAGTGCTGCGCTCAGACAATAACTGAGAAATATTAAATTATAATAAAATTAACTCGGTTCTTACTTTTTGTACCGTTACCGTAAATAGAGTTATGAAATATTAGATATGGCAATTGCTAATATTTAATATTTCAATATCAATTTTATTTGTATTATATTTACATTATTTATATAAATTTAATTATAGTATGAAAATATAACAGTTTGCTTACAGTTTTACACGTATGTACCTTGAGTTAAGTTAAAATCTTAAAAACATGATTCTGGGATTGCGCTTCCAATTTTTAAAGTGTATTATTACATATTACACACACAAAAATTACTTCAGATTTGTCTGAAGTAAAATAAATATCTAAATAGAAGACAGTATATCTTATCTAGTAAAGAAAATTGTAGTAGTTTGATTTGACTATTATTTATATATAAACGGTTGCTTGTGAATTGAGAGATGGACTGCTAATGATCTATGACTGTAATTTCTATATAAATAAATTACAAATAAATGTTTCTGATGTCGCTTCTAACCATTCTAAAGGCAACACTGTCAAGTCCCACGGATATGATGACGATTATTCATTCTATACGGTGACACATGACGAATCAATTTGACACAAATCAATCGAAGGACGTTGACTTGAAACCCAGACTGCACTTGGGATTGTGAATTTCAGTTACGAAACGTCAAAACCAAGAAAGGCGAGTCTCAAATATCATCTTTTTTTTAATGATATGATTTTTATAATGACGGAACGAACCACTGACACTGCGCCTTTCACAGTTTAAGTTGACAAGTCTCATGTGTCTGTAATTTCACCAGCACCCTTATCCTTTAAAACCTAATTAATTAAAGAAAGAAAGAAAGAAAATAAATTCTTTCAGCACAAACACATGTTACAATATGATTTTATGCTTAACGTGTATTTCACTGAAAAGGGCCCAACTCAGCAAATACTGCGGCGGAGCCACAGCGCTGGTTTTCAGTGGACTCTTTTTGAAGTGGCCGATTTAAAAATATAAATTACAAATAAAATGAAAAAAAGAAAAATTCTCTCTCGCATTAAAATAGGTACAACATATAAATATCTCAATTTGATCAGAAAAATGAAATTGTCACTATGTCTTTGTGTATTTTATGTTTATCTTTACGTAATACAAATAAATTTCTCCAGGTTTATTTTGCAGTATTAAAATGTGCTCTCGGAGTTTATTTTTGAAAGTATAAACGGATTGTGAAGAATGCACTGGTGGCGGTATATCGTTCCAAATTTTCGCCGCGGGCAGCCGTGTCGCTTACCACCAGTGGCACGATTCTTCGTCCTACCACTTGATATTATAACAAAAGGAAATGTAAAATTGTAATAGTTTTAAATGAATTTTACAAAAGCCGACAGACCACAATGGTGATCAAATGTTATCACACACAATGAAATGTTTTTACATCAGGTCATTAATATTGACATTATTGCAAATCACAAATAACAAAAAAAGAGTCTTAAGTAATATTTAAAATCTAAGTTTAATTATCACAAAATTATATCAAATAATAAACTTGTAAGTACCAGGGTATCAGGTGGGAAGAACCCGTCAGTTTTACTCGAGTCCGACATAACCCTCACCTCCCCGGGTGGAGGGTATCCATGAGGGTTACCTGACGTAAAAAAAAACAAAAAGGTGGGAAGTACTGCCAGCTCTTTTCCTCCATAACTCAGCCCTGTATTTTACTATAAAAAAGTAAAATAACAAAACCCTTTTATATCATTACGTACCCATTATGTGTCACAAAAGATATTAATTATAAGTTCCAAGGGTATGTACTTTCGTCTATTTTTTATTAATATGTCTTTTTGAAGCGGTGATGGCTTAATGGTTTGACTTACTACCTCTCAAGCAGAGGTCTTGGGGTCGAATCCGATTGCACCTCTGAGTTTTTCCGAATATGTGAAATTGAATTTTAAATTACCATGCGCTTTTCGGGGAAGGTAAATATGGCGATGAAATCTGCATGTCGAATAAGGTTCACAACCCGAAACCCCGTGTAAAGTCCCCAACCCGCACTGGACCAGTGTGGCGGGCTATGGCCTAAACCCTCGCCTGAGAGGAAACCCGTCCCCAACAGTGGGACGTATAAAGGGTTCACGATAATGATGAATGGATAAAGCCGCGTTTATATTTGTCTGACGTGACATGTCGTGATGCGCTCTGACGTCATGGCTAGCGTTCACATCTATACGTTCGTGTCCTGACGCCTTCTCACGATATTTTGAAACAATACCGTCGTGGCTCTCCGCGAGTTTATACATTCCGAATGTCTAATACTTCACAACATAGTAAAGACGCGTGCACACCTGTCTGATCTGACGTGACGCGGCCGCTCCGCCGCCCCACACCCGTCCTGACGTAGATCGGGATCGCTTCTGATGCGACACAATACTAGCCTTCACGTCAGATTGCGACACGCTAATATAAATCTAACCATATGAAATGTTTCATACACATACCGATACCGTTCTGTCGCATCACGACACGACACGTCTAATAAATGTAAATCCGGCTTAACATCTATTTGTTATTTTAAGAATTCACATTTTCTTCGGTTAACTTCCTGTGTGGATGTGAAAAGCACAATTAACTGCGGAACCCGTTATCTTTAAATTACATTCAGCTAATAAAAAAATTGCTACCAACAGCAAGACAAAAAGTTTTTATTGACCATAGACTCAAGACCTATAATTAAAATAGACAAGGTGTTTTTTTTAAATGTTTTAATAGCGCAGGTAATGATTTTTAAGTCAATGTTTTTTTTTATTTACATTCTAATATAAACGGGTTATTAAATATTACACACCGAATATTAGGTTATTACACTATCACATGTTAACCGTAACTCTAATGTTAGATTTTCTTACTTTTTATGGCACAGAACAGTCACATATCTTTTCTACATAAGTTTTGTTGATAGGGACACTCCCTATTCAACCTTTTGGTTATACGGGAAGGGCACTAAAACCCGTGCAAGTAAGCCCGCACAAGGTACCCACTCAGTCAGATCCTGACCCCAGATCAACCCCGATCAACCGAATGATCATCCATTAGAGCAATGAAATTAAGTCCGTCTACCTAAAACAGAACCTGAATCAATTTAGATAAGTTTTTTTCTCCCTATTTAAGGGATGTTTTTTTCTTAATTAGAAAATATCACCGCCACATTGATAGAAAAGTTCGTATCTCAAATTGGTCTAAATCTGACCTGGGATTCCTTAGTACCCACAGTGTGAACCGCAGGCATATTAGTGTGATAAATCGTAGAAAACCACTGTTCCACCACCACCACTCAAAAGTTGTCAATATGTACTATTTAAGTAAAGCGTTTAATTTTTCTTTATGCATATTTTTTTTGTTATTTTATTTTTATTTTGCAGTTGTTTTTCTTTATCGATTAAGATAGGTAATTATAATTATTAATACAAAGATCGAACACTCAGAAAAAGCACTCAGAAAAAATTCCTTCGATCCGGTCGGATTCGAACCGACGTCTTCTTGCATACCGTGCCAGACGCTATACCAACTAAGCCACGGAACGAACCAACGGACCTCACGAATTTTTCTATGTGCTTGCGTCGTGTCTTTGTACTTGGTCTTTCAACGACTTTTTAGTCGTAGCGCCATCTATGAGAAATCTTTGACAGATTTATCATAGATGGTAATTATACCTAAAACTAAACTTACCTGCGTCTGCGTGAGCCCAAGACTGGCAGCCAGCTCTGCCCGTTCGGGCAAAGCAAGATACTGCGTCCTCTGGAACCTTCGATTTAACTGCTGGAGCTGGAGACTGGAGTATATCGTGCGTGGTTTCCTCATTTTCTTCCCCTTGCCATTTACTCGGAGACCCGGATCGTCGGAGAGGCCGCATTTCTCTGTGGAAGGAATAAGTCTAGCTAAATATATATGTTTTTCAAATGATAGGACGTCCATAACAGTCGCAGTGGCAATCAGAGTCTTAAATCGCAAAGATCCGAGGGACACTGCCACTACGCTCGTGACCCTGAGACCGAAGTTGGCAAGTGCGATGTGCCTGTAATTTCACCAGCACCCGTACCCTTCAAAACCAGGACGCAGTAATGATCACACTTGGCGACAGAAATAGGAAAGGTGGCAGTACTTCTTCGGACGAACACTTTCACAGAGATAGGTAATTTTCATAGATAATATACCGCGGGCAATCATGTTTTAACAAGTTTTTGTTAAATAACCCGATTTGTGTATTGCTGTATCAATCGGCTGGTTCATAGAATACTTGTTCTACTTATTCAGTACGATTGAGCGTCGAATGAGATAAACGAGTTTATGCATGTTTGTCTTATTCCTGTCAGTGCGTGCTGCTTATATAATCCTATATAAACAACGTAATATTATTTTATTTTCATTTGCGGTTTCGCGCGTAATAGATAAGCAGTACGTAGTAAGTTCAACACTCACTTGCGTATTTCTCAAAACTAAACAATGTCGGAAGTAAAAAAGAAGAGACGGCAATACTGTGCGGAATATATTACTTGAAACTTGGTGCAACGGGCTGGTATCCGCAACTCGACGGAATATATTAAATTCGGATTCATTGAAAATCCCACAAACCCATCGTCGCCTTTGTGCATTCTATGTCTAAAAACATTTTCAAAATGCATGTAATAATTCTGTGCAAAGACGAATTGATGAAATGGCTGGAAACATTGAAGAATCATTGTGCAATCATCTGAGGACTAGTCAATTCTCAATTCAGCTCGATGAGTCCACTTTACCAACTAATGAAGCATTGTTGCTGTCTCACGAGAGGTTTATTAAAGATGAGAAAATATGTGAAGAACTATTGTTTGCTAGAAATTTAGAGACCGATACAAAAGGCGAAACCATATTCAATACATTGGAAAAGTTTTGTGATGAGAAAGAGATTCCCTTGAAAAAATATAAGTTGCTACGGATGGCGCTCCGGCTATGACAGGGTGCCATAAAGGCTTCATAGCGTACTTAAAAAATAAAATTCGAGATGTCCTTGCTGTACATTGCGTTATTCATAGACAACATTTGGTTGCTAGAAATTTAAGTGAACGACTATTTCAATCACTGCAATATGTCATCAAAGAAATCAATAAAATCCGTAGCAGCTCTTTGAATGATAGATTATCTCATCAGCTTTGTGTTACTAATGACGAAGATTTCAACCGCTTGTTGTTTCATACTGAAGTTCGTTGGCTATCAAGAGGCAATTGTCTGACTCGATTTTGCAACCTGTTTGACTCTGTGATAGAGTTCTTGGAAACTAAAGATACAGAATTGCGCAACAAGCTCATTACATCAAAGAATCAACTGCAAGGTTTGAACTTGGAAATACCAGACTGAGTGTTGGATCCGTTTTCAAATGTCAACACAGCAATATCACCTCAGCTGGAAGAAGAACTTATATAATTGACAACGAACGAGGAAATAAAAATCAAGTTCAAAAATGACTACCAAGAATTTTGGCTAAAAAAACCGATTCCGCAATTGTACCCTGGACTGTGGTCAATCGTTCAACGATTCTTGATAGCATTCCCATCGTTATATTTCTGTGAACGTGGTTTTAGTGCTGTGACAACGCTGCTTACTAGAAAGAGAAATCGTTTGCATGTTACCGAACGTGGTGACTTGCGGCTGTTCTTGAGTAAATTGGAACGTGATATCAACAAACTTATTAAACAGCGTCAGATTCATCCTTCACATTAGCTTTGATATTAGGATCGATTATGTTTGTTTTATTTTGAATAAAAGATACTCTGAATACCATAAAGTTGCGTTTCAATAATCATTCTCATTGGCAGGTGTAGCCCGTAAGAGTTAACTTGAGACCTGAGCGCCGTTGTGTACTACCTACTGCGCTCATGTTTCAAGTTAACTCTTGCGGGTTATAGTAAAAGTCTCGTTTAGAATGAATGCTTAATCTCCGCTAATATAGCTCACAATAATTAATTTAATTTGAACTTATAGTGGTTTTTAAGTAGGTGAAAAAATGGGGGCGCAAAATAATTTATTCTCAAAGTGGGCAGTAGACTAAATAAATTTGGGAACCCCTGCCCTAAAACATTGAATCAAAAAGGTTGTTTATCCCCTTCCGTTGCTTTCGTTACATCTATTTGCCAAGTTTTGTTCAAATCGGTTAACGGAAAGTGGGTGAAATCCAATAAAGTAAATTCATTCCTTAATTTGCCACACAGGTGGAATATTTCTTTCATACTTGACTACTGAGGTACCCCTTACCCAACAAAAAAAGAATCATCGACATCGGTTCACGAGTGTCAGAGTAATCGCGTAACTTACACAAAAACAACAGTCGAATTGAGAACCTCCTCCTTTTTGAAGTCGGTTAAACAGATTTTTTTTTTATAATATCAAGTGACGGAACGTGCAAGACGTGCGCCTGATGATAAGGCGACTGCCACTGCGCCTGTCACTAGAGACATACCCTTACCCTTCTAAACCGGAACACAGTAATGCTGACTTTACTGCTTTACGGCATAAATAGATAAAGTAGCAGTACTTCCCTGGACGAACTCTTTCACAAGGAGCTCTACTCCTACCAAAAGTTTTTAAGTATAAATGTTTGCTTTAGATTGCCTGTAATAAATAAATAAATTAATGAGTCTGTTTTTATAAATATAATAAATTTCATTGGTAAGCCATTTTCGCGGTTAAGTATTTGCCGTAGGTGTGATTTTATTAACATATTACATAATGAGTACTATACTTTAACTGTACACTTTCTGATTCTATCTAACTATGACAGTATATTTTCTATTAGTTAGAAAATGCAGTCATTATAACTATCTTGGAATGGTCGCTAATGAATTTCCTGTATCTAGAAATCTAGACTTTCGTTACGCTTGCATTTTATAGATCATCAAAAGCGCCGACAGTAAAGAAGTTCATATATTTTAAAGCGCTAAGATTTTTTACTTATAGAAGCAAAGTATACTCTATTCCCTGTTACAAGATCTTTGACTATATTAATATAATATTTTTTTCTGAAGCGCGCGTATCTCACCAGCTCAAAATCAATCTAAATAATAGAACAGAATATATCTGTTAAATCACAGGCACATGGGACTTGTCAAATTATTTCTCAGGGTGACAGGCGCATTGGCAGTGCCACTGAAATCTTTGCGATTTTAATCTCTGACTGAGACTGCAATGCTGCATGCTAGATGTGTCGCTTATAACCAGGCGCACGACTTGTTCGTCTCATCAGGATACCAGGCTATCATAAAAATGCAGATTTTTTATCATTATTAATCAAATCACATGTAATAAATGTAGTAATGCTTTTAAAATACTTTTATCACATTAAAGTCATAAAAATAATACGAACTACTTGAAAAATAATTCATTATAACATGTGAAATTTTCTAACGCTCGTATTCAAGCATAAAAAAGTTATTGACATATTGATATCACTATCAATCTCTCCTGTAAAGTGATCATTTTGCAGGTGTCACCTGTGTCACCACAAAACAAGAAAAAACCTTCTTTTAAATCTTAAGATCATCATACATTGAACGCATATTAGTCTCGCTCGAAGACTAAAATAAAATCCATACACTCCATTTACGAGATTAAAGTAGCGGTTTTACAGTTACGGAACATGCGCCTGAGTCGTTTCATAGGAAACCATAAAATTTAAAAATATGGTTTATATTTTAAAGTGAATAAGTATATGAAATGTTTATCATCACCAACATTATCATCTTCAATCCATTATACGTCCCATTATTAAGAATAAAAATTTAGTCCGAGTTTCTAAACAAAACTTGAACCAACCTAGAAAAGTTTTTCTTTTTGGTCTTTATTGAAAAGGTTTTTTCTGAATTAGAAAATACTATGTATTTTAATGATCATTTTAAATCTGCAAAAGCAGCAGGCAAAAAATTTAAATGGTCATCTTTTTAATGATTGATCCGATTTCTCTGAGACATAAAATAAATTAAATCAATGGTTATTTTAATCTGTTCTCAGCTACGCAAAAAAATATTTGATTTGTATAAATTAACTTTGATAGTTTTATATTGGGACTCATGTTTGAGATGAGCACTGGAAATATAATTTAGATACTTATTTTTTGTAATTTGATTCACTATAATACGTTTTTTTTTAAATTTACTAACATATTTATACACTAATATTATATTAATTATAATATAATTTGACTTGAAATCTTGTTCGGAAACGCAAGCAAATTCGCTTCTGGCACTCGCCGGCCGCTGCCGCGGCGCGCTCGTTTCGCTCGCTCGGCTCGTGCTGCTGTTTTATATACTAACCTAATCTGACCTACTGAATGGAAAGCGCAACCAAGATTTGACTTATTTTTTAATACAAAATATGAATGTAATATTCTTAAACGTATTGATAGTGTTACCTTGAATGCAGTTCGTTTATAATTTATCCGTAAATCAATTAATATAGACGGGCCAATTAGTATGTAGGATATCAAACATAAAAAAATATTGTGTATTTAAAAAAGCGCACATTTATCAAATAATATTATCCCTACGTCACATAAATAAATTAGTTTTTGTGAAATGATGCGCCCCAGAGTGATGTCCATTGCTCTGGTACTCCTAATACAGAGAATTCCCTGTATGTTACATTATTATAATTTTTAACCGACTTCAAAAACAGGAGGAGGTTCTAATTCGACTGTTTGTTTCTTTTTTTGTATGTCTATTACACGATGCTTTTTTGTCCGAAAGAGAGTACCTCAGCAGTTGTCCCTTTCAAATTTGAAGAAAACTTAATAAAACTTGGCTAACATATTCCACGAACTTTTTTTCGATTTTTTTACTACTTTGTACTGAAATAATGTTGATATCAATTAACTGATTATTAAAGTGCA